GGAGACGGGCGTTATGGATCGTAGATTACTTCTCCATGCAATGAGAGAAAATTTTGCCCTTTTGCGCTCCCTATGTATCATGCTGTAACTTCAGACAATGTATTTTCATATTACTTCCAAATTAATTTTGTTTCTGATTTTTATTTTCAATATTTGTTTTAATTGCGTCTTTCGAAGTCTAATATTCATTTCTACCAATTTCTATTAATTTTTCTTAGACTCTCTTCGAATTAGATAAATTGATTCTTAGACTAAAAAAAAAAAAAAAAAAATAAAATGTAAGTTAAATCGAGATCAAAGCTAATCTTCAATGACAGGACATAAGTCCACATGTCTTCTGAATAAATACAGAAAAGTATAAAAAAAAAAAAGTAGACTTAAAACACCAATTGCGTTTGAGTGTCTTAGTATTATCTTCGCAAATTGATAGAGATGCATTCGATAAAAAATTTACAGTACAGCGCATAAAACATTTGACGTAAGTAACGTTATATATGTGCATGTGTACACACTATTTGTAAAATAAAATAATAATTTACAGCAGAGGTCAAACTCAAGGCAAGAAACTATCGTATGGTTCCGGATATGTGCGACGATCATCGGATGATATTAACTTTTGAGTCTGATCGCTCGCGTAATTATAGCAACAAACATAAATAACGCAATAAAATCGTTATCAATGATCGTATCATTGACAGTCAGCCCTAATCAAATGACCTCTCCATAGCTCCACCATTTGGTGGGAAATTTCCTTTTTTCTTCAGAAATAACAAAAGTGTACAAAAATTAAGAGTAAGAGATCGATGAAAATCGAAGTTAATAAAGGAAGCAATTTTGTATTTAATTTTTACATTTTACCCGTTATTATTATATCATGATATATATTTTTTGTCTATTAAATGTACACTATATATTATTTAAAAAGTGTTTTAATAACAAACATTATTCTTCTTGCCGACTTCTAGGCCTATCTGTGAAATATAAATGCATTATCGATTTAAAAAATGAAGAGAGCAGATAATACGAGGAAGAAAAGGCTGACGATCGTTGCATCTTCGCAATATTTGCAAATTATGGGGCGCTTATCATTGATCGCTCGTGGCGTTGGCGAACTTTAGAAATAACGCACTTAAAAGTGCAGTCGTGTGGCACAAAGCGATGATAAGGACTTGACGTGCGCACAGCTCGTGCTCGCTGCATCTTATCAATAGAAAAAAATGCACTTAACGTCCGATCGGCGTCGCGCCGACGATAAATTAGCCGAGAAACCGCGGCGTTGTTGCCTTCAAGCCGATACCAGTAACCGGTACGAGTCGGTTTCGATCGAACTTTACTCCGAATCGAAAAGGAAAGTAATTTCTTACGCGGTTTTTACTTAGTTATCGTGTTATACCGTATAGTAAAAACACGGGGCTCTCATCTGTGTGGGTTTTATGCGTCCACTGTGCAACGATCCGGAGATGCAACAGTTCATGATACACGCGTATTTGCAAGAGATTACAGCTCTGCATATTAAATGGTTAATAACTGGTCCATGACTGACTGATTTGTGTGATATTTAATTATTATACTGACATCATCATTGTTAAAATGTAACTTTCTTATTTCATATACAATGGCGGCAGATTTAAGAAAATGTTTAAGTGACCTAGGAAGATATAATATAAATAAATGATTTTTTTCAAATAACTTTATTATAAATGTAATATAAATGTAATTAAAATAACTTGTAAGATTATAAAATAAAATTATTAAATTTTATAAATAAGATAATCTAATGCTCGTCCACGATAGTGTATTAAATTATAAAAATAAATTATTAGCAATCGTTGTTTTTAAAATCGCGTGATACTCAACTGTATTAATTTATTTTTAAATCTGATTTCTATATTTATATATTACA